TCAGTTGGTTGAACAAAAGTCAAGTAAAGAGTGTTGATGTTATTAATCAAAGTTTTGGTGGTTTGTTATTTATGAAAGTATTATTAAATAAAATATCCCAATATCAACATGCCAACAGCCACATGCCAACCTACAACCAACATTGGCCTAGTGTCAGTGTGTTTGGTGGATCGTTACCCCCTCGTGTGAATCCCTGGCGCTAACTGCTGTGCCATTGCTGGGATATTGGGGAAAGGGGCGTAACACCAGGCTCACTCACTCACCCAACAAATAACTATATCCTTTATTGACAGCACTCACCCAAACAGTTCGTTGTGCTGTTATATGGCAGAGTATTTTGTTGATGAACAGTGATTGTAACAGTATTACATTGTTTCTGTAGACGCTCATTGCGAAAAAGAGCGTGATTACGTATCTCTCATGCATTTTCATGACGTCGAAACCAGCTTTCATGTGCGGATCGTTCATCATCCCTGATTCCCTGCCTAGCCAATCTCTTAAGCTTGACCAGTGTCGATGCTTGGTGAATATATATTATTAGCACTCACTTGCTGTCACCACTGTATATATATATATCTGATACTGACCACTGCCATCATGTTATATACTGTCGTTGAATATTGTACTACCACCTCCTTGTGTACTGCCATCATATTATATACTGTGATTGAATATTGTACCACCACCTTCTTGTGTACTGCCACCATATTATATACTGTGATTGAATATTGTACCACCACCTTCTTGTGTACTGCCATCATATTATATACTGTGATTGAATATTGTACTACCACCTTCTTGTGTGCTGCCATCATGTTATATACTGTGATTGAATATTGTACTACCACCTTCTTGTGTGCTGCCATCATGTTATATACTGTGATTGAATATTGTACTACCACCTTCTTGTGTACTGCCATCATATTATATACTGTCATTGAATATTGTACTACCACCTTCTTGTGTGCTGCCATCATGTTATATACTGTGATTGAATATTGTACTACCACCTTCTTGTGTGCTGCCATCATGTTATATTCTGTGATTGAATATTGTACTACCACCTTCTTGTGTACTGCCATCATATTATATACTGTGATTGAATATTGTACCACCACCTTCTTGTGTGCTGCCATCATGTTATATACTGTGATTGAATATTGTACTACCACCTTCTTGTGTGCTGCCATCATGTTATATACTGTGATTGAATATTGTACTACCACCTTCTTGTGTGCTGCCATCATGTTATATACTGTGATTGAATATTGTACTACCACCTTCTTGTGTACTGCCATCATATTATATACTGTGATTGAATATTGTACTACCACCTTCTTGTGTACTGCCATCATGTTATATACTGTGATTGAATATTGTACTACCACCTTCATGTGTGCTGCCATCATGTTATATACTGTCATTGAATATTGTACTACCACCTTCTTGTGTACTGCCATCATATTATATACTGTCATTGAATATTGTACTACCACCTTCTTGTGTACTGCCATCATATCATATACTGTCATTGAATATTGTACTACCACCTTCTTGTGTGCTGCCATCATATTATATACTGTCGTTGAATATTGTACTACCACCTTCTTGTGTACTGCCATCATATTATATACTGTCGTTGAATATTGTACTACCACCTTCTTGTGTACTGCCATCATATTATATACTGTCATTGAATATTGTACTACCACCTTCTTGTGTACTGCCATCATATTATATACTGTCATTGAATATTGTACTACCACCTTCTTGTGTACTGCCATCTTATTATATACTGTCGTTGAATATTGTACTACCACCTTCTTGTGTGCTGCCATCATATTATATACTGTGATTGAATATTGTACCACCACCTTCTTGTGTGCTGCCATCATGTTATATACTGTGATTGAATATGGTACTACCACCTTCTTGTGTGCTGCCATCATGTTATATACTGTGATTGAATATTGTACTACCACCTTCTTGTGTACTGCCATCATATTATATACTGTGATTGAATATTGTACTACCACCTTCTTGTGTGCTGCCATCATGTTATATACTGTGATTGAATATTGTACTACCACCTTCTTGTGTACTGCCATCATATTATATACTGTGATTGAATATTGTACTACCACCTTCTTGTGTGCTGCCATCATGTTATATACTGTGATTGAATATTGTACTACCACCTTCTTGTGTGCTGCCATCATGTTATATACTGTGATTGAATATTGTACTACCACCTTCTTGTGTACTGCCATCATATTATATACTGTGATGGAATATTGTACCACCACCTTCTTGTGTGCTGCCATCATGTTATATACTGTGATTGAATATTGTACTACCACCTTCTTGTGTGCTGCCATCATGTTATATACTGTGATTGAATATTGTACTACCACCTTCTTGTGTGCTGCCATCATGTTATATACTGTGATTGAATATTGTACTACCACCTTCTTGTGTACTGCCATCATATTATATACTGTGATTGAATATTGTACTACCACCTTCTTGTGTGCTGCCATCATGTTATATACTGTGATTGAATATTGTACTACCACCTTCTTGTGTGCTGCCATCATGTTATATACTGTCATTGAATATTGTACTACCACCTTCTTGTGTACTGCCATCATATTATATACTGTCATTGAATATTGTACTGCCACCTTCTTGTGTACTGCCATCATATTATATACTGTCATTGAATATTGTACTACCACCTTCTTGTGTGCTGCCATCATATTATATACTGTCGTTGAATATTGTACTACCACCTTCTTGTGTACTGCCATCATATTATATACTGTCGTTGAATATTGTACTACCACCTTCTTGTGTACTGCCATCATATTATATACTGTCATTGAATATTGTACTACCACCTTCTTGTGTACTGCCATCATATTATATACTGTCATTGAATATTGTACTACCACCTTCTTGTGTACTGCCATCATATTATATACTGTCATTGAATATTGTACTACCACCTTCTGGTGTACTGCCATCATATTATATACTGTCGTTGAATATTGTACTACCACCTTCTTGTGTACTGCCATCATATTATATACTGTCGTTGAATATTGTACTACCACCTTCTTGTGTACTGCCATCATATTATATACTGTCATTGAATATTGTACTACCACCTTCTTGTGTACTGCCATCATATTATATACTGTCATTGAATATTGTACCACCACCTTCTTGTGTACTGCCATCATATTATATACTGTCGTTGAATATTGTACTACCACCTTCTTGTGTACTGCCATCATATTATATACTGTGATTGAATATTGTACTACCACCTTCTTGTGTACTGCCATCATATTATATACTGTGATTGAATATTGTACCACCACCTTCTTGTGTACTGCCATCATATTATATACTGTCGTTGAATATTGTACTACCACCTTCTTGTGTACTGCCATCATATTATATACTGTGATTGAATATTGTACTACCACCTTCTTGTGTACTGCCATCATATTATATACTGTCATTGAATATTGTACCACCACCTTCTTGTGTACTGCCATCATATTATATACTGTCATTGAATATTGTACTACCACCTTCTTGTGTACTGCCATCATATTATATACTGTCATTGAATATTGTACCACCACCTTCTTGTGTACTGCCATCATATTATATACTGTCGTTGAATATTGTACTACCACCTTCTTGTGTACTGCCATCATATTATATACTGTCGTTGAATATTGTACTACCACCTTCTTGTGTACTGCCATCATATTATATACTGTCATTGAATATTGTACTACCACCTTCTTGTGTACTGCCATCATATTATATACTGTCGTTGAATATTGTACTGCCACTCTCTGGTGTGCTGCCATTGAATATTGTACTACCACCTTCTTGTGTACTGCCATCATATTATATACTGTGATTGAATATTGTACTACCACCTTCTTGTGTACTGCCATCATATTATATATTGTCACTGAATATTGTACTACCACCTTCTTGTGTACTGCCATCATATTATATACTGTCGTTGACTATTGTACTACCACCTTCTTGTGTACTGCCATCATATTATATACTGTCATTGAATATTGTACTACCACCTTCTTGTGTACTGCCATCATATTATATACTGTCGTTGAATATTGTACTACCACCTTCTTGTGTACTGCCATCATATTATATATTGTCACTGAATATTGTACTACCACCTTCTTGTGTACTGCCATCATATTATATACTGTCGTTGACTATTGTACTACCACCTTCTTGTGTACTGCCATCATATTATATACTGTCATTGAATATTGTACTACCACCTTCTTGTGTACTGCCATCATATTATATACTGTCGTTGAATATTGTACTACCACCTTCTTGTGTACTGCCATCATATTATATATTGTCACTGAATATTGTACTACCACCTTCTTGTGTACTGCCATCATATTATATACTGTCGTTGACTATTGTACTACCACCTTCTTGTGTACTGCCATCATATTATATATTGTCACTGAATATTGTACTACCACCTTCTTGTGTACTGCCATCATATTATATACTGTCGTTGAATATTGTACTACCACCTTCTTGTGTACTGCCATCATATTATATACTGTCGTTGAATATTGTACTACCACCTTCTTGTGTACTGCCATCATATTATATATTGTCACTGAATATTGTACTACCACCTTCTTTTGTACTGCCATCATATTATATACTGTCGTTGAATATTGTACTACCACCTTCTTGTGTACTGCCATCATATTATATACTGTCGTTGAATATTGTACTACCACCTTCTTGTGTACTGCCATTGTAATGCTGGGCAGAAATTTGTGTTTTGTATTTTTAATTGTGTTTTCAATTTTGTAATACATTTGTTGATTGTACACCACTTGGTGGTACTTTTACGTACAGATTTCTGAGTTAACATATTGTTTCAATTTGGGAATCGACACGTAGCAGCTTAATTACATATCTTTCTTTAATATCCTTCCTTTAGTAGCCAATGACAGCACCTATGTATTTGAAGGAAGGACGCCAACTACGCCATACTTGCAGCAGGTGCCACAGCCTTCTCATGGCGAGTGGTGTGAAGTCATGCGACGTCACGGCCGACTCACTCATATACCACACGGGCGAATACCCCAGTCCGGTCGCAAAACCAGACGTCCCAACGAGCGTAGCACGTGCAATATGTGCGCATAATCCCGTTACGTACACGTCCTCTAAATATATGCGTGGAGCATGACGGGAAATCTCGTACAGATCAGTCACCAGATCGCGCGAGATCACGTACGATGGTCCATGCACGAACCTGGGGAAGCGTTCAAATGGATACTGGTCACGTGATAAGTACCACTTGTTTGAATTGTCTCTGATTGGTTCTTCCACAGGGTCTCTGGCGTAGCCAATTATTGCACGTGACTCGCCTTCCATTAACTGCAGCATCCGAATCAAATTTCCAGATTCAAGAAAAACATCATCGTCAATTTTCATCACGAACCGAGCCTGTGAACAGAACTGTTTTGACCACTGCAACATGGCGTTAGTTTTACGTGTGAGATTTTTGTAGGAGTCGATAAAATTTGCTTGCACAACATCGAAAAATGTCTCTCGCTCCACTGAAATATTTTTGTTTGTTATCTCTTCCGCTAGTCCTGATAAGAAAATCAGTTTCAGTTTTTCATTCTTATTGAACTGTGATCCCCAGGTCTCCCGTATTGCTTGGCGTTCTTGGAAATGAGACGGTTTAGAGGGCACGATGGCCACAACGTACACGGACTGGGGAACACCAGAGCTGGAACACACCTCGGAGTTGACCACAAACTGATACTCGTTCAACACCTGCCCGGAACGCACAAACGCCTCCAGTTTAGCGTCGGTTAGATCATGTCCGCCTGTGGTCGAGTCCCCAGTCTTCGCTTCTGTGTTGCCATGGTAACTATCATGTCTGTAGACCTGACAGCACTGGATGCGGGTGAATCTTAAGTAGATGAAGTTGATGACACAAAATGCCACCACAATCAACGCTCCGCGTTTGAGAGACCAGCTCCATCGTGTCCGTCGGCACTGGTGGCGGGTCAAACCAAAGTCCATCTGCAAGGAAATGAGAAAATAGATGGTAATAATAATAATAATAATGATAATGATAATAGTGGTAGGAGGCCATTTATATTGCCCATATTTCCACACCACACAGGGGCCAAGCGCTATTATTACCAGGTCACTGGATCAGTGTGCACTCAACAATCATTCTCAGCTCCCTAGGGAGTATAAAACCAAAGCTTCCTGTTTTGTGCTAGAAGGTTAACCACTGCACTGCCATGTCAGCTTACCGGGTACCCATTCACGGCTGGGTGAACAGGGGTATATTTCAAACACGTGATTTGTGTGCTGTGCATAGACTCACGTGGCACCACACGGTCAACTCTGATCACCATATTGATTTCTCTGTGATATTCGGCAACTCCAAACAACGTGGCAGTCGATGATTGACAGGTGACAAGCCTTGGAGGACCGCCCTTTATAAACCTATTCGTTGGGATCGCTATTAAGTAAGATACTTCTTTCTATAGGCATTAAACCCTATTGTGAGGTTTTACTTTCCAGTCTGGTTAAATCTCATAAACAGTGACGTTGTAATGTCCCTGGGATTTTAAATAATATCCCAGGGATTTTATAGGATATTCAAGTCATATTTGCTCTATAATGTGTTATAATATCCCAGGGATTTTATGTGATGTCCTGGGTATTTATTAATATAACTTCCGTTCAGATTGTAACATGTAATGAAATGTAAAATCAAATGACAAATGTTTTCTTTATATTCCCGAGGATCGAACTCGCATATCTGTAGCCCAGTGAGTGTACCACGAGGTTACAGAGGTGTTGATAACCCACACTGGTTTTTAGAATGTCCTTTTCAAGATCCGTACGCCAGCAACAGATATTTTACGCGCGTTTCCTAAGGTTCATGGAAAGTATGTTCGAAACATAAAAATGTTGATAAATGTTGTTTTAAGTTTCTTTTTTCGGTTTATAAGTATGGATAAACGCTTTCCCTCGGTATTGGTAGACAGAGCATGCCCTGGGGGTCGGGAAAAACCGCGAGTACGGACCTAGAGTACACCCCTGGAGTACCGCCCCGAAGTACACCCCTAGAGTACGGACCTAGAGTACACCCCTAGAGTACCGACCTAGAGTACACCCCTAGAGTACCGACCTAGAGTACACCCCTAGAGTACCGACCTGGAGTACACCCCTAGAGTACCGACCTGGAGTACACCCCTAGAGTACCGACCTGGAGTACACCCCTAGAGTACCGACCTGGAGTACACCCCTAGAGTACGGACCTGGAGTACACCCCTAGAGTACGGACCTGGAGTACACCCCTAGAGTACCGACCTGGAGTACACCCCTAGAGTACGGACCTAGAGTTCGGAATTCAATGCGTTTGAGACTAGTAAAATCCAGACGGGGCCAGTGACATTACGCTCGTTGACTGCCACGTTCACTATTAGGTTGATAGCAACTCTGTACCTGTTGGTTTTTGCGCTCTAGCGAAAATAAAGATTAACTTCCATTCCTAAATACTAATGTTATTGTCATATGGTAAACCAACAGATAGTTCATCTCATGTACGCAATATCTAACATGGAACGGGGATTCGAACCGACGATAAGCGGTTTCTGACGTGACTAAGGGACGCAACTCCTCACAGTGCCACCTGTGCCTCTGTAAAGGTCCTCGCAGCAATAGCCCGCTCGCAGAGCACTCAAAACTGCCGCTGCCACCAGTCAAAGCTCCTCACAGTGATATAGGTGACTACAACAATGCTTGGAGTTCAGCTCGCAGCCGACTGACCGTTAAGTTTACAAGCAAGTGATGACTGCCATGACGCCGAATAAACTTACCCCTGCTTAATTATTTTCTCTGTTTATCACTTTGAATTTTCGTTTCATTTCAACTATCATGTAATTGGTCTAGTAAGAATGTAAGGGGGAAGTTGGGGGATGTTCCGTTAGTCTGCAATCTCGAACCAATCCGATTCAACAACCAAAAAGATAAATTCATCTGGCAAATTCATATGCGAAATATGGTCACTCGTAAACCTTTTCAAAATTCAGTATGATGGCATTCCCAAAGATACAAAAGTATCAACGTTACTACATTTCGGATTAGGGAGCAAATTTCAAGATTCTTGTAATGGCCGCGCCCACGCTGGTGGCAGCGATGTTACCGAGAGTGTTACGAAGGTGTCACGCGCTGGGAAGGAGCTTATGCCTCTGTTCATGAAGGGAGATAACTGTCGGAGGGTAAAATGGTGGTAGGGTGGAAATGCACACAGACGATGACAGGCGGTGAAAGAGGACATACACATGAAGAAAACCTTCTCAACGTGAAGGAAATGCGGAGGAAATGAACATAGTCAGATCACAAGCACGAAGAATACATTTGTTACATTAATGAACGTGTATGTCTACCTGTAGTACTGAGGCGAGAAGTATGCACACAAGTCACAGAAGCAGCCGGCTGAAAATATACAGTGTAACGCCCTGATTATGTGTCTAGGTTTGTCAGCGCCGTGTCCTCGGGGGCTTCACCAAAGTGGTAAATGTCTGAGACCTGCACCACCTCCCACATTAAGTCGACACGCCGTGATATAACTGGAACACTGTTAAACGGCGTTAAACCTAACTTACCCACACACTTGTTCAGTTTAATCAGAGACAATATTATTATATGGTCTTTGGTTTAATGTTCTCCCTTGGCGTGCTTCTGCGTCTGCTGTTTTGGATGTAATTAGATGAAACTAAGTTCTGTTTTATTCCTCCCTCCTCAAGCTGACACGCCTTGATAATAACTGGACTACTGTTAAAAGGGCATTAAACCCAACTCACTCACTCACTAATATCAGTATAATGCCTTTATTAAAACCTCGTTTTCACGCATCTATCTAGCCCCGGCCCCCCGGGCGAGGTGGTGTTTTGTCCTGTAACCATTGGTCATGTGGTACCGTACCCAGGGGGCAATGTGCCGAATTCCGTTACCCCCGGGGCGAACATATTCCCCTTGTAATTATTTGTGGAATGGTTGTCAAACACATTTCGGTCTCTTGCAACCAATCAGCTATTGCGCAGATATCACATGATTTGTACTGACGTCTGCTCAATAAATCGCGTCGGCATTTTGGGACATATATGTCTATTTATATAGGAGATTCATAACAGACGCTGAATCTCGAACATTTCGTTAGGAGACTACAAAGATAAAAACAAGAAAGACTTTCGAAGAGATCGCAAGTAAACTAGTCTGGTATATACGCTGTTGCTGTGTTGTGTTTCCGCTGGCACTGTTGTTGTTTACAGTCACAGCCCACACAAATATCTAACATGAACAGAACCGAGGGACACACTTAGGCCAGTGTTTCTTTGTTTTTCTGGTTGCTAAATATCCAAAACGCCAAGTGACAAATCATGGTGAGAGGGGCTAGATGGTCTTGGATAGCGTTATGATAGACCCGAGTTGGAAATGTCTATGGTAGATCTAATAACTCACAAGCGTTGTCTGATCTAGCATCAATGGAAGACACGAGTACTGATCGATCACCAGCGCTCACCTGACATATTTATGCCATAAAACCGGGAAAAATCCTGATTTGTTTTGTTTTCCTTCGCTGATGTTTTCGTCATGTATGTGTGAAGGTCAGTGTCATGACGAGAGAATATCGCTCATTGCGAAAGTTGGCGTCATACAAAGTATTTAAAGCGTCAGTAAAATGATCAAACGACAAGACTTATGAACAAACAAAATCAGGAAATCGCACTGATAACACCAGGTGCACGTTTCTTTTCGAATTAATGACGCGAACTCCTGAATCAGCACTCACTGACCCCTTAGGCTTGTGTACTCGGTACTAGTGATGATTTGGAAAGAACGCGACATACCAACACTCCAACTAGAGGATATTTACATTTATCACATAATGGGTAGGTTTCTCGGCAGGATAAAACCAACGGATAAAAACGATATAATGGGGTCATAAGAGGATAGAGACGCAAATTTCAAAGGTCAAGTAGGGACTACTTTCAGTGTTTAGAAACAAATATAGCGTCGACCTTGTCATTCGGCGATCGAGTCCGAAATAACCATCAGGATTCTGGAGAAACTACTGGGATAATTGTTATCATTATCAAAACAAGTCTAAAATACTGGAAATCGATGTATGAGTGTGACGTTGCTAAGGCATTATAAACAATATAGCGGGATCAGTTTTCATATTTGTGCTTGTAGAGCTCTGCGGCTTGGAACCTTTTCCTAAATTAAAACAGTTGGATTTGGCCGAAATATGTCCGAATTGTTATCTTGTTTCATTTTGTCCCTGTGTGTACATCAGACAGTACTTCGTAACGTTATGACAGGACAGGTAGACTCTAAACAAACGTGACGTCTCATAGACTAGGGTTAGAGTAGCTTCCCTTTGATAAAGGGCAGTTACTCTAGTGGACACACCTATGAATTGCAATTTGCGTGGGTAATTGTCTTTTTTTCTTTTTGTCGTTACGTCACTTACTTTCTGACGTAATATATTTTGCGCACATTCCAGGAAAACTTGTAATGTTTAGGTAATGTTTGTGAGACATGGGAAGAGATTTTTCGTGCACAGAATTGAAGTGTGACAAATAATATAATAAAGTGGTTATCAGGCTTGTGTGTTTGAGGACGGTAAATTCCCCGTATTAGGAATAAACACTATGTATTTACATGCCAAACACACCCCAAACACACTCGCGTGATTACCTCAGTTTGTCGTTTGAAGTTGATAATTTGTAGGAATGTAATATCAGTACGTTTTCCAGAAGATTTCTTTTTGGAAAATAAATACATGCATGTAATGTTTATTTAAGATCGTTTTGCGTTTATGTTTACCGTAAGGGAAGTTAAACTGAACAGCCCGAAGAACTGTTACAACAGGGAACACGAATAGGTGAAGCATGTGGCGAGAGCTAGAGATATATAGAATTTCGCTTGACAGATACCAGAATTATTGATGAGGTCCATTAAACTGGTAATACACAGGAGCGAGTTAAGTGGGA